GATGAAAGGGAGGATGAATGAGAGGGAGAGAAGAAGAAGGTTTGGAGGTAGAAAAAGGAAGCAATGAAGAAAGGAATAAGGAAAGAAAGAGAAGATGGAAGAGTATGGAAGATAGAAAAGGATGGATGAATGAGAGGGAGGGAGAAAGAAGGTTTGGAGGTAGAAAATGAAGCAAGGAATAAGGAAATGGCTACATTCCTACCGTAAGCTGGTCCCTTATTTTAGCGTTGGGTTTCAGATCCCTTGAGACAGTTCCACTGCGTATGCTTCTCACTAACTTATGATGCTTGATTTCGACTAAATTCTCCTAGGAAAAAAAAAAACATTAACGATAATCTGAGCTTCACGTTCTTAACGAGCTAAGGGAAAATGGAATGAACCGTGATCGAGACAAGAAAAATCATAAAGGCATCCAATAACCCATTCCCACATTTCACTGCAAGAGGAAAGTGTCTCCTTTTATTCCGACGAGCGCTTATTACCAAAGATATCATCCAATTTGTACTTACTAGTAACGTTTCTGGATCAGATAACTTGACGATCTCAGGCTGAGTACAAACATAGTCCACATCGTCGGCATCCTGGACATTGTAAAACAGATGTCAACACAACTGTCACTAAAAGCTTGCGTGAACACGTGGCGGCATAACAACGCGAAAATAAAATYTTATTGCTGTTGTTAGAATCTGTTGCTGTAGAAATTTGTGAAATAACATTTGTTTTATATATGCGTGTTTRCATGTCAACAGACAAGGATACGCAYATCCTCCYCCACAGKCSTCTAGTTTTTCCATTTCGTCCCGCTCCCTTACTGATCTAACACAGGAAGTCCGTTATTTTTAGAAGGGAAAGAGACGCCTTCCGAGGAGACTTGGATTTCAGCATTTTACGAAGAAGAATAAGAAAGATGCCGGTCCATTTGTATTCATACATATCCGAAATTGATCCGTTTTGACGCGGATACGGCTTAAGTTATTTGTTTCCAATAAAAGATCCGTTAACTCTGTATACAATTCCTATTCCTGTTTTTGAAACGTTTTTTTTTTTTGAACAGGTGCAAAAGACGCATCAAAACTATAAAATTTACAACACATAATAATTGTTAGACTATAGGGTTTCTAAAGCAAAAGGGACCCAGAAAAAGCTATCGCAGGAATCGTTTTAGTTAATCCGCCATATTTTTTTTCTGGTTATCTTCAGTTTCAGTGAAGTCAGTAAACAGACCACAGAAAAACCTCAAACCATTAACAATTTATTACAGGTGGAACTGAAAAAATGATTTGACAACGCTAATTGTAAAGAAATAACAGCAAAATAACACGGTTTGTCATTCTTTCCTTGACAAGTATGGAGCGCTATTTGAAATGACAAAGTTATAAATATCTTAATGAAAAATGAAAAAGAGATGGGAAGATGTAGATTAAATGTAAACATTTTGGCGATAGATTGTCGCAATTTATTTCTCATTCTAGTTTCAAAATCATTTACTGTAATATAACCCCTCATAGATGTTTATAGATACTTTTGCAGTTCAAACCCGGAGAGTCGTTGTATTAGTTTTGGCGCTAAATGCGTGCGTAACCTTATATATTTAGACTTACAGACTATGTTACACCGAAGAAAAAACAAATTCATACTCGCCAGGCTGCGACGTTGATGTTGGAATATTTCATTCAACTTCATTCTCTAGCTCCAAATTTCTATTCTGCGCTTAAAAACTGTCGTGTAAGAAGCATAAATATTTGAAAAGAAAGAACGAAATAATTCTTATGTAACGATTATTTTGAGAACAAGTTTTTTGCGTCTAAAAAGCAATATTCGATATCCAAAACAGTTTTCGATCCCACTGAATGTTTGAAAAATCTGCTAAAATAAAACAAATTGGCCTAAAATAAAAAAAACAATTTCCCAAATGAAGGAATATACTTGAAACGAGTAGGATTGAAGATCCATTTCAAAATGATATTTACAGTTTTAATTGCTATTGTCCTTTTTAAAACACAACATAGCCCTTTCCTGCTCCTTTTAAGTCAATTTGAATTGCAATATTAAATACTTCATTATTTCAAAACCCTTGGTTACCTGCAATAAGGATTCTGTATCTTCCTGTTTTCCAATCGCTTGAACGATACAACCGAGACCCATGCTTGTACAATACTTTGTACTTCAAAGCGTCAAAAACCTTTATAAATTTCTACTTTTCAAAGCTCAAGACAACATTCTACCACGAGTTGCGTTCACTGTCGTTAAAGACTACTTTAAAATACGGTCGAGACAAACACAGACTAAATTAACTGCTAAACACCCTTAAACGTTTTCACAAAATGGCAGCGCGAGCCAAAAAATGTAACGCAATACTAAAAGTCAAGAATGCATGACAGTGACAGAATGCGCGACACGGAAGTTTACCTTTTCAAAATATACGACGTTAAAGTCTGTTCCATCAAAATGAATTCTCGGGAATTTTATCATCAAATACATAAAATTGGAGTTTCGTTTCTCTTTCTGTAGGAAGAACCAAAGTAGAACAGTGAGAAATAAAAAAATGAAATGATCGCGATGAGTCACACCCGTCTAATATCACCAATTCATGGGGGTCAGGAGAAGTAAAGTGTTTACGGCGACTACCGCTATCAACCTCGTTCCCAGGGCTACTCTGCGCAGAGTAGCCCTGGGAACGAGGTTGTACCGCTATTGCCTTGGTCTTCCTGTGTATTACCACAGGAATCCCAACACGGACACAAAATTTCAAAATAACCATGTGAAAAAATTGGAAAACTAAGTATACTAAGTTACCTCATTAATCATTTCAATTTCTCTAAAGGTAAGACGATCCAACCAGTCCACTTTCTGCATTTGACCTTTGTGGTGCTTCTTACTTAGCTGTGAAAAAGAATCATGCATAATCTATAACAATGGACAATGTGCACTTCCTTGAATAAACCATTATTATATTACAACAAAACTCACACCAGTTTTAACACTAATCATCTTATAATTATTACATATCAACTGATTGGATGGGATATTTTAATCAAGTATCCAGCAAACTATAGACTATCACAAACCCATCATGATTATGATTATCTAGTGGAGCTATATATTCATATATGGTTGTGTTAAATCTAGTGAAATTGGTCACAAAAAATTGAGAAAAGTTCATTTTTATGTTCTTTTGTCAAATTTTTCCATGTAGTCTGTTGGAAAATATACAAGTTGATAAAAGGTGATACTCTATTCCAGGCTGGGTTATTTGAGTCTTGATTAGTGTTAATCTAGGGTGTTACCAAGATTAGTGCTAATTGAGCTTCAAACAGCCCCGCCCAGGTGAGTATGGCTTCATGGACTATAAACTTGTGTTCTGCTCAGCCTAAGGTCTAATTTTTAAGTACAAAATATCCCATCCCTCCCCTCCCTCACTGGTTATAAGAGGTACCTTTGCAAGTCGATTCATCTGATCTTCATTTGATAATGTTTTTCCTGGTGTTGTTGTTGGTAAGTGACCATCAGATTCAACTCCTGGCCAAACCCTCAGATCATGCATTCCGTGCCGCAGGGTACTAGTAGTAAAGTTAAGATGTGTTAGGACATAATAATGTTCTATAGCCTGATTTTCATATGCCTGTGGATCCATCCCTAAAGCTTTCCTCCCCCAATTCAATGACTACAAAATTAATAAGTTATTTTTCAGTAAACATACCCATATTTTCCAAATAGAGACACAGTTGTCCCACCAACTGGCACAGCTTTCCTTGGGCCATAGATGTCCCAGATAGTAAATGCAAGCTGTGCATTGCGTGGTAAGTCAGGATATTTGATTGGCAGTTTTATCCATTCGTTCCAGCTTTATCAAAGTGATAAAGGGAAAAAGACATGATTATGATGATGTTGGAACAATGAGGGAATTGATGAGTGGGATGGATAGAAAGACAAAGAAATGAATGGTTGGATGAATGAATGCACAGATGGAAAATGAAAGAAGAACTAAAAAAAATATGGATAAGGATATACAGATTAATAGATGGATAGATAAATGCCATGAAAAATTAGAAATTTAACAGATGTATATGAAAGAATGAATAGCTAGTCTTCTCCACGGTTCTCTGTACCATCTTGAAAGGTAGCCTCCTTACCTTTGCATCAATGACTGTTGAGCGTGCAATGATAGAAACCTTCTTTCACACCTACAGACAATTAAACACTGGTATCTATCATTGCACGCTCAACAGTTGTCTCGCTTCGATGTAAGGGATGGCTACCTTTTAAGATGGCGCAGGTAACCGTGAAGGACACTATTGATGGATGGATTTACAGAAGGATGGATAGACACATAGATTGATCAATGAACACCTTGATGGATGAGCACATTGAGAAGATGGATGGAAGAATGAAAGACTGGATGGATGGACAGATGGAGGGATGCATGCATTCAAGCAGAAGCATATAATCAGAATAAAACTTGTTTTGGAAAGTTCTAGTTACTGTAATGTAGAGGAATTGATCTTACTTCCATCTTGTGCTAAAAGGTCTGTAAGAGGTGCTTGTTGGTAGTGACAATGGTTGTCCATCCGCATATATTCTGCATGTCACATATAAATCTGAACAGGAACTGAAAAGAAAATGCATGCACTTAATGGCAAGGTTAACACAGGAAGCCCATGTCAAGCCATATCTATCTTATGATTTTTTTGCACTGAGATTTACCTTTGATATAACCCAGAATATCTTAATTGTGGATCATCAAGCAGTTCTTTGTATCCTTTACATTCTCGTTTACCTTCTAATGTACAACTGAAAAAGATGAAGTGTGCCTTATTACATAAGAAATGAATGACTTTTTTAACTTTTGGTAAATAAAAAGTGGAAATAATGATAAGTGGAAATTTCCTTATTTCTTGAGATCAAACAGCGAGAGCTACCTGGAGCAAGTCTAAGGAGYAAACGACAGGTTTTTTTCTTTTAATCATTGCTGGCCATATGACAACAAACCACAAAGTCATGTTGATTTGTCTTCAAGAACAATATCTAGCTCCATTTAAATCAAAAACACACATATCAATTCAAGATTCCTGCGGTTAAGAGTAAATAAATATAATAAATACAATACAAAGACTTTTAATTTTATCAAAACTCGATCGAATCGATGGCAGGAAGTAAGCTAAAAATCATGGTACCCTTGTGATGGGAGTTTCTCGCAAATAGTGTATATATTTTACAACAATATAAAATGCTTCAAAGCAAAATTCCAKAGATTATTGCACTTACATTTTTATTTCGAGGTTTGCGTCTAGATCAGAACTGTAWATATAGTAAAATCGGTCTTGGTTCAACCCGTTGTCCATGTYATTGAGCTACCATYTTGAATTTTTGCCTGCGGTACTATGTAATCAGCGGAAACGACAAAACAATTACACAGGCAACCCATATTAAAATAATCTTAAATTAATCTCTGAAATTGTTTCTTTTTAGAACGGCAATAAGGTTTTGTTACTTGATAATACTGTAAAGTTTTTCATTATTTATCCATTTTCTTATGTGATTTCCTTTAGAGCAAACCCACAAAGGGACAGATAAAARTTTCAAATATTTTGCGCCCGCAATTTCTTTAACTAGGGCAGCTAAAGTAACACTATATGCGCGCCATTCAAKTGCGCACCAATATGGCGGACGAGAAGGAGTTTGTATTGATGTGTTAAATTTTCGAAGAAAATATATACTTTTCAGGGAAGTAGCTATCAAATTATAGTGGGGAAGGAAAGGAGATGACGCGAACTGCACGTATGTCAAAGAAGAAGCATCTTGAAGCTACTTCTTGGGAGGAAATGAGGTTGAAAGGTAATTTGTTTTAAGCACGTGGCTACAATTTCTTGTCTTATAAACTTATTTATCACAGTTTTTTAATTTCTCAGGCGATCATAAAGATGAACAGGAATCAAAAAACGACTTGGGCAATGATGAGAAAATATTGGAATTGCAATCGCACAAGAAAAAATCGCGAAAACGAGAGAAAACAGACGTAAATTTTAATGAAGAAACTAAAAAGAAAAAAAAGAAAATAGAAAGCTCTGAAGAAAAAACAGAATTAGGCAGTAATGATACCACAGAAATTCACCAAGAGAAGAAGAAAAAGAAGAAAAAGCCCAAAGATGCCATTCCCTCAGAAAATGATCCAAAACCTCAGTCCAAAGACAGTGATGTCATTTGTAGTAAAAACAACAGTAAAAACAAAAAAGATAGATCAAATGGCAAAAATCAGGAACTTAAAACTCATGGATCATTTAAGTCACACAGAGAACAAAAACTTGAGAAACAGAGGGAGGCAAGGAGAAGGAGGAGGGCAAAAAGAAAAGTATGTCGACTACAACAGCAACAAATAGTTATATTATTAATCATTCAGGATATATACATCTTGGTTGGTAAAGAGCTTACCCTGGTTCCAGAGGCTTGTCTTTTATTCTTTTGCTAACTATGTTGTCGAGCCCAGAAGCAGCAAGATGTTTCCATTAATTGGTTTGTTTTTATGCCAAGCCTCTGGTTTCAAGCATATAAAATCTCACTTGAATTAATGCTGTATTTTAGCAAACCTATTACGAATCAGAGTAATATGATCTGTTATTTGTGATGACCTGTTATTGGTTTGTTTATTTGACAGCTAAAATATTGTGCTTTAAAGAAGACCCAGCTAGTAATTTATTTTAATTGTTGTCCATCAGTTATTTATCACTGAAAATTATTTTGAAAATCCCAACAGGGTTTCTTACAGGGTTTAACTTGCTTCCACTGCCGTCAGACTGGACATACCACAGCTACTTGTCCACAAACTAATAACCAAGGAGTTGGTGTTGGTGTGTGCTACAAGTGCGGGTCCTCCAGTCACACTACAAAGAATTGCAAGGTTGACACTTCTCAAGGTCTGTCAAGAGATATTCTACAATACTTGTACATGTGCATATTTTAAAATGTATAATAGAATGGAAAAGCTATTCATTATACTCAAATCAAATATGTGCTCAAAATAATTGAATTGAAAAAAGAATGTGTAAGCCCTTGGTCTGCTGCACCTGATAAAGAGTTCGCTCTTGAAACAAGCATTAGTAACGACTCCAGCGTAGTGTATTACTGTACTTCCTTTAACTTTAAATAGCTCAAATATTTGAGTACTTTATATTATATTCAGGTCAATCCTTATTCTGCAGTTTATTTTAAATTAATTA